TTTTTTTTTTTTTTTCTTCTTCTTCTTCTTCTTCTTGCGGTTGTTGCTGTTGTTGTTTTTGTTGGTGTTGTGCACGTCGACAGCGTGGAGCACGGCTATAGCACCAGGTGGTTGTGGTCCTGGTTGATGATGTGCTTGTTGTTGTGCAGGTCGACAACGTGGATAACGGCTATGGCGCCCAGCTAAGTGATGCAGGTATGGCCTCCGCCCCTCTTCTTCTTCTTCTTCTTCTCTTCTTCTTCTTCTTCTTCTTCTTCTTCTTGTGGTTCTGGTTCTGGTTGTTGTTGTGGTTGTTGTTGTTGTTGTTCTTGTTGGTGTTGTGCAGGTCGAATTCAATTTTGGAGTAGAAAATGTAGAAGTGTTTGGTGAACCAAAAATGATTCTGCCTAAACAAATAAAATGGATATGCAATTGCAGGTCATATAGCTTTCTTCTTCTTCTTCTTCTTCTTCTTCTTCTTGTGGTTGTTGTTGTTGTTGTTCTTGTTGGTGTTGTGCACATCGACAGCGTGGAGCAAGGCTATGGCGCCGAGGTGGTTGTGGTCCTAGTTGTTGTTGTGGTTGTTGCTGTGCTGGTCAAAAGTGTTGGGTGAACCAAAAATGATTCTGCCTAAACAAATAAAAAGGATATGCAATTGCAGGTTATATAGCTTTCTTCTTCTTCTTCTTCTTCTTCTTCTTGTGGTTGTTGCTGTTGTTGTTCTTGTTGGTGATGTGCACGTCGACAGCGTGGAGCACGGCTATGGCGCCCACGTGGTTGTGGTCCTGGTTGTTGTTGTGGTTGTTGTTGTGCAGGTCGACAACGTGAATCACGGCTATGGCGCCCAGGTAAGTGACGCAGGTATGGCCTCCGCCCCTCTTCTTCTTCTTCTTCTTCTTCTTCTTCTTGTGGTTCTGGTTCTGGTTGTTGTTGTGGTTGTTGCTGTTGTTGTTCTTGTTGGTGATTTGCAACTCGATTTCAATTTTGGAGTACAAAATGTAGAAGTGTCTGGTGAACCAAAAAGGATTCTGGCTAAACAAATAAAAAGGATATGCAATTGCACGTCATATAGCTTTCTTCTTCTTCTTCTTCTTCTTTTTCTTCTTCATCTTCTTCTTCTTTTAGTGGTTGTTGTTGTTGTTGTTCTTGTTGGTGTTGTTCACGTCGACAGCGTGGAGCACGACTTTGGCGCCCAGGTCGTTCTGGTCCTGGTTGTTGTTGTGGTTATTGCTGTGCAGGTCAAAAGTGTTGGGTGAACGGAAAATGATTCTGCCTAAACAAATAAAAAGGATATGCAATTGCAGGTCATATAGCTTTCTTCTTCTTCTTCTTCTTCTTCTTCTTCTTCTTCTTCATGGAGCACGGCTATGGCGCCCTGGTGGTTGTGGTCCTGGTTGTTGTTGTGGTTGTTCTTGTGCAGGTCGACTGCGTGGATCACGGCTATGGCGCCCACGTAAGTGATGCAGGTATGGCCTACGCCCCTCTTCTTCTTCTTCTTCTTCTTCTTCTTCTTCGTCTTCTTCTTCTTCTTGTGCTTCTGCTTCTGGTTGTTGTTGTGGTTGTTGCTGTTGTTGTTCTTGTTGGTGTTTTGCAGGTCGAATTCAATTTTGGAGTAGAAAATGTAGAAGTGTGTGGTGAACCAAAAATGATTCTGCCTAAACAGATAAAAAGGATATGCAATTGCAGGTTATATAACTTTCTTCTTCTTCTTTTTCTTCATCTTTTTCTTCTTCTTCTGGTTGTTGTTGTTGTTTTTCTTGTTGCTGTTGTTGTTCTTGTTGGTGTTGTGCACATCGACAGCGTGGAGCACGGCTATGGCGCCGAGGTGGTTGTGGTCCTGGTTGTTGTTGTAGTTGTTGCTTTGCAGGTCAAAAGTGTTGGGTGAACCAAAAATGATTCTGCCTAAACAAATAAAGGATCTGCAATTGTAGGTCATATAGCTTTCTTCTTCTTCTTCTTCTTCTTGTTCTTCTTCTTTTTGTTGAGGTTGTTGCTGTTGTTGTTCCTTTTGTTGTTGTGCACGTCGACAGCGTGGAGCACGGCTATAGCGCCCAAGTGGTTGTGGTCCTGGTTGTTGATGTGCTTGTTGTTGTGCAGGTCGACAGCGTGGATTACGGCTATGGCGCTCAGGTAAGTGAAGCAGGTGTGGCCTACGCCCCTCTTCTTCTTCTTCTTCTTCTTCTTCTTCTTCTTCTTGTGGTTCTGGTTCTGGTTGTTGTTGTGGTTGTTGCTATTTTTGTTCTTGTTGGTGTTGTGCAGGTCGAGTTCAATTTTGGAGTAGAAAATGTAGAAGTGTTTGGTGAACCAAAAATGATTTTGCCTAAACAAATAAAAAGGATATGCAATTGCACGTCATATAGCTTTCTTCTTCTTCTTCTTCTTCTTCTTCTTCTTCATCTTCTTGTTCTTGTGGTTGTTGCTGTTGTTGTTCTTGTTGGTGTTGTGCACATCGACAGCGTGGAGTACGGCTATGGGGCCGAGGTGGTTGTGGTCCTGGTTGTTGTTGTGGTTGTTAGTGTGCAGGTCAAAAGTGTTGGGTGAACCAAAAATGATTCTGCCTAAACAAATTAAAAGGATATGCATTTGCAGGTCATATAGCTTTCTTCTTCTTCTTCTTCTTCTTCTTCTTGTGGTTGTTGCTGTTGTTGTTCTTGTTGGTGTTGTGCACGTCGACAGCGTGGAGCACGGCTATGGCGCCCTGGTGGTTGTGGTCCTAGTTGTTGTCGTGGTTGTTGTTGTGCAGGTCGGCAGCGTGGATCACGGCTATGCCGCCCAAGTAAGTGATGCAGGTATGGCCTCCGCCCCTCTTCTGCTTCTTCTTCTTCTTCTTCTTCTTCTTCTTCTTCTTCTTCTTCTTCTTCTTCTTGTGGTTCTGGTAGTTGTTGTGGTTGTTGTTGTTGTTGTTCTTGTTGGTGTTGTGCAGGTCGAATTCAATTTTGGAGTAGAAAATGTAGAAGTGTTTTGTGAACATAAAATGATGCTGCCTAAACAAATAAAAAGGATATGCAATTGCAGGTCATATAGTTTTCTTCTTCTTCTTCTTCTTCTTCTTTTTCTTCTTCTTCATCTTCTTCTTCTTCTTATGGTTGTTGCTGTTGTTGTTCTTGTTGGTATTGTGCACGTCGACAGTGTGGATCACGACTATGGCGCCCATGTGGTTGTGGTGTGGGTTGTTGATGTGGTTGTTGCTGTGCAATTCAAAAGTGTTTGGTGAACCAAAATGATTCTGACTAAACAAATAAAAAGGATATGCAATTGCAGGTCATATAGCTTTCTTCTTCTTCTTCTTCTTCTTCTTCTTCTTCTTCTTCATGGAGCACGGTTATGCCGCCCAGGTGGTTGTGGTCCTGGTTGTTGTTGTGGTTATTGTTGTGCAGGTCGGTATAGTGAATCACGGCTATGGCGCCTAGGTAAGTGACGCAGGTATGACCTCCGCCCCTCTTCTTCTTCTTCTTATTATTATTATTATTATTATTATTATTATTATTATGATTCTGCTTCTGGTTTTGTTGTGGTTGTTGCTGTTGTTGTTCTTGTTGGTGTTGTGCATGTCGAATTCAATTTTGGAGTAGAAAATGTAGAAGTGTGTGGTGAACCAAAAATGAATCTGCCTAAACAAATAAAAAGGATATGCAATTGCAAGTCATATAAGTTTCTTTTTCTTCTTCTTCATCTTCTTCTTCTTCTTGTGGTTGTTGTTGTTGTTGTTCTTGTTGGTGTTGTGCACATCGACAGCGTGGAGCACATCTATGGCGCCGAGGTGGTTGTGGTCCTGGTTGTTGTTGTGGTTGTTGCTGTGCAGGTCAAAAGTGTTGGGTGAACGAAAAATGATTCTGCCTAAACAAATAAAAAGGATATGCAATTGCAGGTCATATAGCTTTCTTCTTCTTCTTCTTCTTCTTCTTCTTCTTCTTCTTCTTCTTCTTTTTCTTGTGGTTGTTGCTGTTCTTGTTCTTGTTGGTGCTGTGCACGTCGACAGCGTGGAGCACATTTATTGCGCCCAGGTGGTTGTGGTCCTGGTTATTGTTGTGGTTGTTGTTAGGTAGGTCGACAGCGTGGATCACGGCTATGGCGCCCAGGTGAGTGACGCATGTATGGCCTCCGCCCCTCTTCTTCTTCTTCTTCTTCTTTTTCTTCTTCTTTTTCTGTTTTTTCTTTTTCTTCTTCTTCTTCTTCTTCTTGTTGTTCTGGTTCTGGTTGTTGTGGTGGTTGTTGATGTTGGTGTTCTTGTTGGTGTTGTGCAGGTCAAATTCAATTTTGAAGTAGAAAATGTAGAAGTGTTTGGTGAACCAAAAATGATTCTGCCGACATATATAAAAAGGATATGCAATTGCAGGTCATATAACTTTCTTCTTCTTCTTCTTCTTTTTCTTCTTCTTTTTCTTGTGGTTGTTGCTCTTGTTGTTCTTGTTGGTGTTGTGCACGTCGACACAGTGGAGTACGGCTATGGCGCCCAATTGGTTGTGGTCCTGGTTGTTGTTATGGTTATGGCTATGCAGGTCAAAAGTGTTTGGTGAACCAAAAATGATTCTGCCTAAAAAAACAAAAAGGATATGCAATTGCTTCTTCTTGTGGTTGTTGCTGTTGTTGTTCTTGTTGGTGTAGTGCACGTCGATAGCGTGGAGCACGGCTATGGCGTCCAGGTGGTTGTGTTCCTGGTTGTTGTTGTTGGTGGTGTTTTGTTGGTTGACAACGTGGATCACAGCTATGGCGCCCAGGTAAGTGACGCCCGTATGGCCTCCGCCCCTCTTTTTCTTCTTCTTCTTCTTCTTCTTCTTCTTCTTCTTCTTCTTGAGGTTCTCCTTCTGGTTAATGTTGTGGTTGTTGCTGCTGTTGTTCTTCTTGTGGTTCTGCTTCTGGTTGTTGTTGTGGTTGATGCTGTTGTTGTTCTTGTTGGTGTTGTGCAGGTCGAATTCAATTTTATAGTAGAAAATATAGAAGTGTTTGGTGACCCAAAAATGATTCTGCCTAAACAAATAAAGAGGATATGCAATTGCAGGTCTTACAGTTTTCTTATTTTTCTTCTTCCTCTTCTTCTTCTTCTTCTTCTTCTTCTTCTTCTTTTTGTGGTTGTTGCTGGTGTTGTTCTTGTTCGTGTTGTGCACGTCGATTGCGTGGAGCACGACTATGGCGCCCAGGTGGTTATGGTCCTTGTTGTTGTTGTGGTATTTGCTGTGCAGGTCAAAAGTGTTTGGTGAATTAAAAATGATTCTGCCTAAACAAATAAAAAGGATATGCAATTGCAGGTCATATAGCTTTCTTCTTTTTCTTCTTCTTCTTCTTCTTCTTTTTCTTCTTCTTCTTCTCCTTCTTCTTCTTCTTGTGGTTGTTGCTGTTCTTGTTCTTGTTGGTGTTGTGCACGTCGACAGCGTGGAGCACGGCTATGGCGCCCAATTGGTTGTGGTCCTGGTTGTTGTTATGGTTATGGCTATGCAGGTCAAAAGTGT